GTTATTGGCTTTAAACAAATAAACACAGCGCCCACCTCCTCGCCTTCAAAAAGAAATAGGAGAGCGAGCGAGCAGATGAATGATCAAACAGCAGCAAAGGAATAATAGTTTTGCTTTACTGGGTGAATACTTATATCCCAGGCCAGGTGTTGAGCATTTAATCAACACTATTGTATTTAACCTCCAGAAGAGACATAGAAGTAAGGATTGTTATTATACTCATTTTACTGATGAGTCAGATGTAAAGCAACAGCCCAAGATAACGTAATAAGCAAGCCAGGCAGAGCTATGACGCGAATGGAGACAGTCTGGCTTGAGTGCCCATCATTCTAAATCATCATCGTCCAACAGGACTTTGTGCCATGATGAAAATATCTGTGCTAACATGGTAGCCACTAGCCATACGCAGCTACTAGAAAGTGGCTAGTGTGCCTGAGAAACTGTATTTACTGTTTTATCTAACTTTAATTACTTTAAATGTAAATAGCCATATATGGCTAGTGGCATCCTGATTGGCCAGCGCAACTATAAACTGAGGTTATGAGTTACCTGCATGGTGTTATGGTCAGTACCACAACCCCAAAGTGCTTGTAGCTCTCAGAATAATACCATGAACCACTGGAACAGCAGACATCTTACACTCAAACAGGAAAATTTTCATTTTTAAAAACTTTTAAATGCTTTGAAAAACAATCTAAGTCCAACTCTGTTTTGTACTTTGGTTTGGTTCCTACTGGCTTTGGTCTCTTAGAAAAAAATCTCCGTAGATATTTGTGGCAGCATGGTTTGTAGCAGAAACAAAAACAAAGAGATCAAAACAAACAAAAAAAATGGAGTGCCTGTGAATGTGGGGATGACTGAATGAAAAACGGTAGATTCACCCTCAGGACTGTTTTCACTACGTAAAGAATAGTTAGATTCACATGCAGTTACCCAAAAGAATGACTGAGTACAAATGAGTGACACAAACAAGTTACAGAATAATACATAAAATAATCGTTGTATTTTTATGGAAAAGTAGCAAAGGAAGTCCTGAGGATGCTCTATGTCTAGGAGTTCATAAATAGTAGATCAATGGAACAACACTGAACCCGGACAATGCTAATCTCAAAAGAGTAGATCAGATATCAGAAAAGATGAAATGATTGTTTCTTTAAATACCCCTCAGACTCTGACTTGTATCAATGGGCACAGAACCGTTTTGGCATTTTATAAATTGGATAAAATAATTATTAAGGCAATCTTGAAAGACCTGATTCTTAGGCATGCTACTCAATTACCTTCATGTTAATTTAGTCCTCGCATAAATGTGCAAAACAATACAACTTCTAACTCAATCAAACAGTATGTTCCAAGGTTTCCCAATCTCATGGAAAGCAGCGTCAAGGTCAA